TCTCTCTAATTGCAATATTACGACACCAACTGTCTCTTATATAGACACACACACCCCCTCCCTTAGTTTGACCTGAATTTGCATCTCTGTCCAATCGTACATGGGAGAAACCCTCAATTTAAGATTGCCTAGCTTTCCCACAATGGCAGAGGCCTGGGCCTTCGGGACTCCGAAGTAGCTTCCAGACTTTTATGGACTTCCTTGGTGTTAGTGGTCCCATTTTATATTAGTGGTCTTTCTTTCGCCCTCTGCAGGCACTGTGTGGTTAAATGTGCTGAGGGGACCACTGGAGGTATTAGGTGGCGCGATCACTGGTGTGGCCCTAGGGTACTTTCTACGTTACTTCCCCAGCAGAGACCAGGTACGTGAGCTACAACTTTATGATTGAGAAGTACATGTTGAGATTCAAAAATTGATGTTGTCCGGTTAAAAGTTTTCATGGTTGGTGATTTGTGTCTTTTATCTTACCACGCAGAGAAATCTCGTGCTGAAGCGTTCCTTCCTGTTGTTGGGGCTGGCCATGTTTGCTTTGTTTGGCTGTAACGTGGCTGGGATTCCTGGCGCAGGAGGACTCTGTTCGCTGGTGCTGACGTTTGTGGCTGGAATAGGCTGGGGGAATGCTAAGGTCTGAATCACTCCTCCCAAACACACTAGGGATGTGCGAGACTAGTCGATTAAATGTTTACAATTTTTAAAAAATATATTTTTACAAAGGCTACATGTTAGACTTGCATTGTTAAATCAATGTATGATTTTGAAAAGAGTATATCTGGAGCGTAAAACAATCTTTAGATCTTTCTCCCTATTTTCTCAGATCACATGTCTAATTTCAGTGTGTACGTGTGTTTCAGGCTCCAGTGGAAGCGGTGGTGGAGAGGTTTTGGCATGTGTTCCAGCCTCTTCTCTTTGGTCTCATCGGTGCTGAGGTTATCATTACATCTTTGGAGGTCACGACTGTGTGTGAGTGTTATACTCCCAGTTTGACAATTCTCTGTTGTCGTGTTTCAGTAAAATAGCTGATTGAGTCGATGAAGTTGATCAACTCAAATGTAATGTGTCCTCAGTTCTGGGCATAGCAGCCCTGTTCATCGCACTCACAGTACGCCTGCTTATCACTTTTGTTGTGGTACTGCGAGCTGGCTTTAACCTGAAAGAGAAAGTCTTCATCACTCTAGCATGGATGCCTAAAGCAACAGTACAGGTATACTTGTCGAGTCTAACAAATAGACCCTCTTTTTTACTGTGCCTTTATCTTTTACTCGGTCCTTCTAGGTATTTTAGACAAGTGTGAGCTAAATGACACAAAATGAAATGCATATGAGATCTCTATGAATGCTGTGTGATTGGTGTCAGGCTGCCATAGGCTCTACAGCTCTGGACATGGCGCGCTCCAAGAGTGACCTTGAGCTGCAGAAGTACGGCATG